CGTGATATGTTTGTCGCGACCAACCAGTTCGAGGAAAGCGTCTCTTGCTCTTCGAAGGAGTTCTACGAGGAAGCTCGGTACACCAAGGCAAAGCAGAAGATCAAGGGGTGGCAAGACCGACACCCAAAAGTACTCGAGGCGATACGCAACATGCGCACGAAGAAGACTGCCTCACCCGAGAAACTGAAGGTGTACATCGCGTTCATGACGCAGCGCATGGACCTGCTTCTCAGGTCCTCTCAGCTCAAGCCTTTCCGGCGTCTCCGCTTCCGGATCTTTCTGTTCATGACGAAGAAGCTTCGGCAACTTTGTGAAAGACTGACTCCGAGAGGCAAGCGCGTGGTCGTCGGATTCGGAGACTGGAGCAATCAGGACGTCGCGGGGATCATCAAGAAGAGCCCTGCTGGTCCAGTGAAGGTATTCGAACGAGATCTCGCGCGCTACTGCACTGTGATACCGATCGCCGAGTATCGCACGAGTAAAGTTCATTTCGAGTGCCAGCGCCAGCTCAAGAACCAGTACTCGCAACGACTGTGCCGGGATGGCGAAATACGAACTCAAAAGGTTCACAGTGTACTCCATTGCTTGAACAATGGCTGCCGTGGTATGACTGTGAACCGAGACGTGAACGCCTCCCGGAACATGCGCCGACTGCTTGAATGCAAGCTACGTGGACAAGACCGTCCCTTGGCCTACACTCGTCAGGCAAGAGCGTGATCACAAAAAAAAAACAAGTGCTTCTGAGTGCCTGCGGGTGGCCCAGGAGCAGCTGATTGCTCGAAAGAGCTTCTCAAGCATTACTATTTTGCTTTGCGGTGGTACTCCATGAAATCAGCAACGACCACTTGACCATGTGTAGCCATGTCTATAATTGTAAATTTGCGCTTAATTTTGAATTGCGATGGATGACATGGCAAAGGCGCTAGGGGCGTACGCTGGCGGCCTGCAGCAGTCGTTTGAGTCGGTCTTTGAGCGCGTGGGGCAGAGTTTATCACAGAGTGCAGATGTGATGCGCATGATGAACGAGGTGATGGAGTCGGCCATGCTTCAGAATCTGTGGATATCTTCCAGTTACCAAGTCCACGGAGGTCTGATCATCGACGTGAAAAACCACTCGGAGATCGCGTTGGGTCAGACGAAGATCCGTGCTCAACTCTACAGTTCAGAGGAGCCATTCTTCTCTGCAACGCTTGATTCTCTCGGGGCTATGGGGCGGATCCAACTGCAAGCATCGATTCATGACGTCCCTCGTCCGATAGCAGGGTTCATCGAGTTGGAATGTATCAGTCCAGGTACACAACAGCCTCTCACTAAGCGCTCACCGTTCCGAGTGGTTTATTTCCAGCTAGGTAGGTTTCAAGCCCTACGAAGTGCGGAGGAGGGAGCTTCTCCTGGCCCGACTGAAGTGACAGTGGCATCGGACAGATTTTTGCTGACAAAAGTGAGAGATCTCCTGGAAATCAGTCCGATCGACGGCATTTTGAGGGACGATGAGGGCAGGTATCGCTTCCACCCAGAATTTCCGCTCCCCAACAACCCTGTGCTTTACCTGTCCGTGAAGACGGGGGGAGCAGGTGACCCAGCATTTCAAGTCACGGTATCTGCTGCTGGAAGTGCTGATACCGCGGAAGATCGTCGACGTCAATGCCAGCAGATAATCAATGAGTTGGAGACTGTCGACTCCGATGATTCAGACTACTAAAGCGATCGTTCGTTAACAAGACTGCACGCGTCGTAAGCTGACAGCAAAACAGGTATTTTGGTATTGGGAATCTCTATCGCTACTTGTCTCGATGGATTTTTGCTCAGCTCGCCTCCATCCCGTCAGCTGCGAAGAAAGCATCACTATTTTACGCTACCTTTTGCACTTCACCATGCAGCTTAATTAAGCCCATTGGCGCTTGGAGAGGTAGCCGCGATCGCTGAACCACTTGTGTAGCAGGAAAGACTGCCCACCGTACATGGCGCCCAGTACGGCCAACTCGAACATCGTGTAGTAGATAATGCGGGACTTGCTGCTCTCAAGCGCTGTAGCATTATCCGGCCACCATTAGTACATCCAGCAAAGATATTCGACAGTTCTACCATCTTAGTACTTACTCTGAACGTGACGGTGTACTCGGGCACGGTAGTAGTCCTGCTCATTGCGAATGAGCTTCAGCAACGTCTGCAATCGGTCCAGCGACGTCTTCACACCTTCTATATGCTCTATTATCGCCAACAAACACAAATTACACGCAAATACATCAGTCAAGTGTCACCAGTATCTCCCC